ATATATATATGTATGTGTAATGTTAGTATGTGATAAAATAACAAAACAGTAATTGTAATAATAATAGTCTGTAAATTATATTTATATGTCAACTTTATGAAAAATATCAGTTGTGATTTTTTGAATCATTTATGAACTCTACTTGTCTTTGTTAGATTTGTATAACTATAAGTTCTCCTGCCCAAAAAAAAACGTTTTTAATCATTTGTTTGACATGTTAATTTTTTTTTCTAAATATTTATTAAATATCTATATGTGCAATTGAATATTTTATTCTATGTAATCCTTCACAAATATAATGTTTAGTTGATATATTTATTTTAATCATGATATTTTATAGGAGAACATTACTAAATATATGTGTTCAAAGTTGATTATTTGTATAGATAGTTCTTATCTTTTGTTCTGTTACACTTTGGCAGAACTTCATAGATCAAATTAATTTTTAATCTTCTTATGTTGGTAGCTATTTCAATCTTGTTTTAATATGTCCAATAAAAACTTTGTGAAATTTTATCCCAGTGAAACAAAAAGCAAAAAATAGGCAGAAGGCCAATACATAATTTCTTAATTTATGGTCTTTGTATTTTAATCTTTAGTTTTAATTATATATCATGTGGTTGGGAAAATAAAAGTGAATTTAAAAAAAATTGGTGAGAACGTTTTTTTATTTTTTGCAGCAACCTGGTAAAAGATATAAAGTCTTGTGTTTTTTGTATTTACTTTTCAAGAACTTTTCACTGCCTCACAACATTCCATCTCTTATAGCCTGTACCAAGTCAGTAAATCGGTTGTTTCTTTAGAACAAGTTTTAAGGTCTTTGTCAGTAGATACTTCATATTTTATTTTCTTCAGGTTTGTAAAGGCTTGTTTTGTTTCTTAGTCATTCATCACTTAAAGATTATTCCATACTATCTGGTAATATGTTTTACTATACAGAATCATAAGATCATTCACAGTTTATTTAAAAGTAGTTGATAAATTTTACACCTCATGGTTACCAGTAATGCATATTATAATCAATTCAGGTTGGAAGGGTTATTTACCATACAATGGATCATTAAATAACTCCTTGTTTACACAAGTCAATAAGTTAGTAAGATTTTATACTACGTAGAGTCATTATGTAACAGTACACAAGTTGATAAGATCTTGTACTACACAGTCACTACAGTGTAACTTGTAGCTAACCAAGTTAGTAAGATTCTTCATATTTATTCAACTATAGCTTATCACCCACACCTGCCCCATTTGGATCCAATATAAAATTAAGTATCATTACTCTCAGACAACATAATACTCTGTATTACACAGTCATTGTGTAATATTTCACAGTTTAAACAAGTTGATAATGTTCTATAAAGTTGTTGCAAAGATTTATTAAAATTATTTATGTTGTATGGGCATGAGAATTTAATTACAGGTTCGAAACAGCTAATTTCAACATCTTTTTGGTTTTTTGCTTGTATTTCAAGTTTTATATAAAAAATATCATGCCACTTAGAGCACACATATATTTAATGTTTTCTGAACACTTGTGTTAGTTGGATGTATTTCAAATTTTGCACTTAAAGACATTTAAATTTAGCAAGTATACCCAATGACATACAAATGTATTAATGATTTTAGAAAATACTCCATTTGAGAAAAAAAGTGAAGTTTTCATTGAATATTTGTTTATTTAATGGACTTTCTCTAAACAGAACAAAAGTAACACCTATAAAGATCAGTTTTATGACAGTCATGAGCTTTTTATCATCTTTACATATATATTTAAGTTCAAGCAATCTCAACATTAAAAAAGTTTGACTCAAGTAAATATGCTTAAGTATTTTGAAATATGAAATCCACTAATGACAGTTGTTTTTTCTTACAATGGTGATTTTCAAATATGATAACAGTATATGTCCTTGAACAGCGCCTCATGAACTCCACTCTAGATTTGTATAGAAGAAGGAAGAGGGAGTGGCAGCAGTCATCCTCAAGTGGAGGAATTCCTATAGGGACAACATTTCTATTTAGAGATTCTGCATGTTCATTTAACAAAACTTTAAAATCAACATATACATTGTATTCGATGATGAGGAACCCACTTTGAGACTAATAATGCTTGGGGACGGCTTGAATGAGTAATGAAGAAAAACTTTAATATAAGTTTAACATAACAGCAAGTGTACAACGTTTTGACATCATCAGGTACAATTTTGTTCAATTAAGATGGATTCCTTGATTTTTCGTTTGTTTATATTTGGTTCTTTGTTTAAAATTACTGTGTTTTTAATAGATATACTATGGTTTTTTGAGTTGCAATGGTGGAAAACATGGGACGGTTTTTTATTGTGTTCTGTGAATCTGATTTCCAATTTTCTTCCTGTTTCTCTGATGTAGAATTATGGGCAGTTATTGTATTGTTACAACAGCGGAAGTCACGTAACGCTGCTGGTGCATTGGCCTTGGTGGCATGTGCGAGGAGTTTTTTGAATGATCATGAATTTCCTAGTTTGTTCAGGACGCCCTCTTTTTTAGTATATAAGCCCAGCAACTAAAAGAATAGATATGCAGATAGATTGATGATAGAGATAATTGAGTCAAGCGAACAGTAGGCACGGTAAGTAAAGTGTGTGAATCACTGTGATTTATAGGGTGTGTTATAAAAGTTGTTAAGTGCATTACAAAGTTGTATTGAGAAAGAATAAACTAGTTTTAATTAAGAAAGGACTTGTATCACTGAAGTTACACGGAAAGAATTTATACCAGAAATTTAGGAAATTATCAAACGAGCAGATAAGTAACAGTATACATTGTATAGTTTCACTAATTACTTAATAAACAGTACCCTTCATAGTATGTGATTAATGACAATTTGGAAAACGTTCCTGTGCTACAGTTCATGAATGCAATAACAACACACAGTCATAATTTTGATGTTTTTTAAACTTGTGATAATTAATTATAGAAACCAAACTTTTCACCTTCAGTCTTTTTCTTTCTTTCCTTTTTCATTTTATTAGGAGTTTGATATAGTAATGTTTTGTATCCAAACTCCAATCAGTGACACTTATTTATGATAAAAACCAAATTTTTTTATACCAGTCTCTTCTTTCTTTTCCTGCAGATGTATAAATATATATTATTTTTTGTACTTGTTGGCTTAATGAATATCTAGTTTTGCATTAAAAAAAAATGAGCAGTTTTACAATTATATAAGAATTACCTCCATTCTGTTGTTTCCCTCGACATGGATTCCTGTACGTGGTGAGGGGACCTCCCAGGGAAGGTTCTATATTTTCAGTTACTTCCTCTGAGATCTAAACATCCACCCACGTGTTTGCCGTGCATGGCGACTCGTGAAGGGGAGGAGAGGATCCTGGTGGTTGAGTGGTGTCTGGGGCTCTGCAACACACTACTTTGGCCTTGAGTTCCTGTAGATGGGTGGCCTTGTGGTGGGGTCAGTGGGCACTGAATCTTTCTCCTTAATTATGGATCCCCCAATACAAATAAAAAAAAATGTTAAAAATCTGCTAATCGGTAAACAACCATGCTTAGAAGACTCTGACCAGCAGTCTCCATCACCCAGTACACCTGTACCTCGCTTCCTGATCCTGCATTCACTGTCCGATACATCTTTAGGGCAAATGTCACCCTTTTTTATTCAGAAGGGTTTAGAGGGGCTTGCTGGCTCTCCAAAGTCAGTTAAGAAGCTCAGTTCTGGAGACATCTTGGTTGAAACATCCACAGCTAAGCACAGTGAACTCCTCTTGGATTCAAAGACCATTGGGGATATACCCATTGAAGTTACTCCCCATGCTTCCTTGAATTCGTCACGAGGAGTTATTGTTGAGAGGGAATTGAAGTCTATCCCCGAGTCAGAGATCCTTGCTGGTTTCTCCAGCCAAGGAGTTTCAGCAGTTCGAAGGATCTCCACTCGTCAAGATGGAATTATGGTGTCGACCCCAGTTTTGATTTTGACGTTTGCATCACCACGTCCACCTGCCGCTGTTAAGGCAGGTTATTTGAACTGTAAGGTATGGCTCTGTATTCCCAGCCCTCTCCGATGTTTTCAGTGCCAGCGGTTCAGTCACTCAAAGACATCTTGTCATGGTTCTGTGACGTGTGCTTGTTGTGGTGTAAAGAACCATGATGCCTACGAGTGCAAACTAGACCCTCACTGTGTTAATTGTAGTGGTTCCTTCTCTTACTTTAGGTCTTGCCCTAAGTGGGTGGAGGAGAAAGAGGGACAGTGTTTGGAGACTATTAATAACATCTCTTATCCAGAGGCTCAGAAGCTATTGTTCCCTACTACATCTCGGACATATGCCACTGCACTACACACCACTGCTACAATGGGAGTGCAGATGGACCTTTCTGTGCCTCCATCTGAGTCTTTTTCATGCCATGTGAGAGGTCTCCAATCTCTGTCCCAACTATTCCTTCTAGTGAGTACCTGGATCAACCTCCTCGGGCACCAGCCTCTGGTGTCAGTGTGGGTCCTTCTTTGGCCCCTAAA